CGCGCCCCGCCGTCCCCCTCCCCCCCGGCCCCGCCGGCCGTGCGCCCCGCGCCGCACCCTCGCAGCCACCGGTCCGGTGCCGTGCGGCAGCGGGAGGGGCGCTCCCGGCTTGCTCCGCTGCTGGAACCCGGACCCGGTTCGGGGGTTTCGAAGGTTCGGGGGGCAGCGGAGGAGTCACGCCTTCGGGGACGGCTCCGGGGGCGGCTCGGGGGGAGCCCCGCGCGTCGCGCTGCCGGCGGCCCGCCCGGGTGCGTTGCGCTACATTCAGTGCTGTACAATGGGATTAAACGCACACCGTTATCATCCAAATTAACCAAACTCTGAATGCCAAATGGGGGGCTAGGGGGGGAGAAGGGGGGCTTCCCCTCTCTCCTTTTCTCCACGAGCGAGGACGGAGTTGATCCTCTTACTGTCTGTGTTAACCGCCAGCTGCGGGCACCTGCGGGGCCGCTTGTTACCCGGGGACGCTGGTTATGGCCCGGGCCGCGGGACACGGCCGCTCAGCCCCGGGACACGGCTCCAGGACACTGCCCCGGGAGACGCGGCGCGGGGGCTGCAGGCGGGATGCAGCGCTGGGCCCGCCCCGGCTTGGAACGAGGTGGCACGGGGATGGACGTGGCACGCGGGTGGACGTGACTTCCTCTTTCCCGTCCCCGTGCCGGGTGCAGACGGAGCTGCCCCTGGGGCACACGCTCTTGCTGGCCCTGCTGCTGGCAGGCGCCGTCCACCTCCTGCAGCCCGTGTCAGCCCAGGGCTTCGTCCCCTTAGGCTGAGCTGCGGTCCTGCGACCTCGAAAGCTTTCTCCAACACGTGCCTGTAATTTGTAGCATCTCCTTCGCTGCCTCTTTTGCATCAACAATAAAATTCCTAACATAGGTGTAAAGCTACCAGATAGGGAATCCTATACAAAAATGTATGGGCACGGATGAGAGCAGCCAGCACTGCCACATCCCTCAGAGCCGCGTGTCACACAACACCTGAGGCAACTGTTAGCATCGCATGGCACAACACCTGAGGCAACTGTTAGCATCAGATTTCCTTACCTATGGCACAGCTCAGGCTGTGTGTGCTGTGTGCTGTGCTGGGAGAGGCCCTCAATGCTGCTTGGAGACCCATAGGGTTTCCCTGACTTCAGCGGTGCACAGAGGAGCCTGCTCGGTGCTGCATGCGTTGTTTGTGCAGAGCACACCCAGTGCTGGTGCTGTGCTGGGAGCAGATGGGCTCGCTGTGCATGGCTTGCCTTGTGTTAGTGGCCATGTGGGTACGTGCAAGGGCTGCTCCAAAAGTAATGCCTCCTGTTGTATGATGTTGGCCCACAAGGCCAGAGGCAGATGTTGATGGTATGGCAGTAAAGGCTGAACCTTCCCATCAATATTCCATTAGTTTGTTGCTGTGTGACAGATGACAGCAGAGGGCACTCTGACAGAACGATGTCTGACGTGAAAGTACATGTGAAGCAAAGGGATGTCGCTGAATCCCTCCACGCTGAAGAAAATGGCAACCACTCACAGTCATCAACACTTGCTGGACATTTCTGGAGACTAAACTAAATAAGTTAATAAGCTAAATAAATATTCTGGAGAATAAACTAAAGTGAATGTGAGCACAGAGAGGTGGTGAGTGGTGCTTTTCAGCAGCAGTGATAGTGACAACCAGTTACCTCTGCTGGTACAAATTGTCATGAGTGCAGCATGCAGGCTCTTGTTCATTTCAGTGAAAATGCAGAGCTAATGGTGGTGTCTGGGTTGAAAAAGACTGTTTTGTACCTGAGAATTTGCTCTATTAAATAACATTATTGAGCACTTTGTTGTAGTTTCCATGGAAATAAATAAGAGCCATTACTTGTGGCGCAACCTACAGAGTTTCCATGGAAATGCAATGTAAATAGGAGGCATTAATTTTGGAGCAACCCACATATAATAACAATAAAATATTTACCTGTCCACTCCAGTTGCAGAGTGCAAGGTGAGAGTTTTCCTCTCCGCACAGTCCCATAGTGCAGGCTGTGCCAGGTACACCCGAGTGTTCTGCTTGGCAGGTGGAGGAGAACCCATGGACGCTGCCTGCTCAGTGCTGGGCTGCCCCGTTCCACATCTTCACTAATGGTCTGATGGTGGGGCAGAGCACATCCTCGGTAAAACTGGGGGAGTGGCTGATATACCAGAGGGTCTCGTTGCCATCCAGAGGGACCTGGATAACCGGGATGACAGGAACTTCATGGAGCTCCACAAAGGGAAGTGCAAAGTCCTGCAGCTGGAGGGGAACAACTCCAGGCACCCATATATGCTAAGCGAGGACTGGCAGGAAATCAGCTTCTGCAGAAAAGGATCTGGGAGTCTCAGCAGACACCAAGTTGAACACGAGTCAGCGATGTGGCCACAAAGAAGGCCAAAAGTATGCTTGGCTGAGTTAGGAGGTGGAGAGAGGTGATCCTTGTCCTCTGCTCAGAGCTGGGGGAACACACGTGGAGTGCTGGGCCCAGTACAAGAGAGGCCTGGACATACCAGAAAGAATCCAGTGAAGTGCCGTGTAGATCATGTAGGGGCTGGAGCACATTTCCTGGAGGACGGGCTGAGGGAGCTGGGCCGGCTCAGCCCAGAGAAGAGCCTGAGGGGGATCTCATCAATACCCATAAACACCTGAGGGGAGGGTGGAGCCAGACTCTCTTCAGTGGCGCCAAGTGCCAGGAGCAGAGGCAGCGGGCACAAAGCGAAGCGCGGGAAGCTCCCTCTGGACATCAGGTACCGCTTCTGTGTGGGTGACGGAGCACAGGCTGCCCAGAGCCTGCGGGTCTCCTCCAGGGAGAGCTCCCAAAGCGGCCTGAGCTCTGAGCGTCCCTGCCTGAGCAGGATTGGGGCAGATGGGCCAGAGGGCCCTGCCCACCTCCGCCGTCCCGTGCTTCTGAGTTGCTCTGATGTAATTCCCTCCCGGTTCGGTTTGGCATGAAGGAAACATATTTAAAATTTTTCAAGTTACAGATCAGCTCTTTTGCTCTACTCTGAATGGGATGTAACTCATTTAGATTCAGGGCATCTGCACCTGTGTAATGCAGAATAAATGGGAGGAAAGTATGGCCTTTTTGTTTATTGTGCTTCACCACATGTTGCATTAGAACTTGACTCATTAAAGAGTCGTTAACAACCATTATACTTCTGACTACTGTGTAAACAATGCTAATTCAATGGCAATTCAGAGCCTATCTCCCTCCAGAGTCTTTTATAACTCCTGCGGGTGACTTTCTTTCTAGCTGAAGTGGAATAGGGACCCCTGTGAGAGG